GTGTTTCCTGTCTGCTTTCAGGAAAGCCCAGTCAGGATAACCACACTGCTCCAGGGCCTGTCGTGTGTGTGATTGAAGAAGTCTCTTGGAGGAGAGACGAAACGTTTCATTAAAGAAGAACCCGTCCAGAGGACCTATACCATTTTTTTTTTCCTTTGATTTTTTACCTGGATTACTGAGATGCATCAGGACATACTGTATATACACTACACTGTAATGTGTGTACAAAATCACAAGCCACAACTTCGATATATTTAAATAAGAAGTATAAATTTAAGTCTTAGTATTAATTTACTTCTCTTTATACTTTTCAGTATAAGGCCAAGTATGTTTCACTATACTATTCTTAAGTATATCGTTTATGTATATAGTTTATAAAAAGTAAACTTCAATACACTGCATCCTGCATCCTTTTTTTAGTGTAACTTTAGTGCACTTAAATAAACTACTTCTTGCTAAGAGAATTGAAGTTAGCAGCATCATTGCTAAAAAGGTCTAATGCTCCAAAAAGTAAAAACCTTCAGCGCTTTCAATTCCTGACTCACTGCAGGGGTGTGCCTCTAAGAAAGAGGCTTTTATACCCGAACACAGGAGCTGCGACGTAAGCAAACCTGTAGCGTTTTAACAAATAGGAAAATTCAACTGCAGTAGCCACCGTTCAACCCATAGAGGGCAGCACTGAGACATTTTAGATCAGAGGTGCCTAAACATTTTCACTGAGGGGGCCAAAATCAAAATCTATCCATGGCTGCGGGCCAAATGCAGTTAAATAATACATGAAATACAAATACTGTTTAAAGTAAAGTCCTTTTTTTAACGATTAAGCTATGCAATGGCCCTCTTTGGTTTTAGTCTGTGCACCTGGAGAAAGTCTGCCATACGCTCAAGTAGCAAAGGCTCATGGGACATATAAATTGATAAAATATGAGTTTTTGTGGCCTTATAAAGTGTGTAAATCTACATGCGGGTTTAAATCTGAGCTAAATATTTCTTGTTGTCGTTTCATGTTTAATCCTAATAAATCAAAGATATGTCAGCACCATGACTGAAAACTACCTTCATACAGCCCTTTTATATAGTCATTTGACCAATGTAAACACTGTGCTTCTACCTATAGGATAACAGGTTACAACCTTGTAACTTTGGCAACTGTTGGTGGGCCAAATCAAATGACTTGGCGGGCCAAATTTGGCCCGCGGGCCCCACTTTGGGCTCCTCTGTTTTAGACAAAAGATCGCAGAATTAAACAAATTTACACAAATGTGGCAAAACTTGCACAGAAATATAAAAATAATACTGTAAAGGCTCAATTTAAACAGTTTATTTGCCAAAAAAATTGAATTGATGTTTAATTATTCTTTAAAGAGACAGAGGCCGTTTTCAAGGTGTTTATATAAATAATGCAAAGTCAAATTTACAGCATTTTCATAACTATATGCCTGGTAAATACATAATACCCCCCTTTAAGTTAAGGGTACCATCTATTTTGACAAAACTAAAAGCCTTTAAAAAACCCAGAAAACATAACTAAGTGGATTTTCTGTTCTTATCTTTCTGCTGTGAATTTGACTTCCCTCCTTTGACATCTGTGATAAAATCAACTTGAGGGCCTTTCCTTTTGAGGTGCTGCGTCAAAAACAACATTTTTCTCATGATGAGACAAACAAGTTGATCTCAATCTGTCTCCACGTTTGCCTCGTCTTTTTATTTTCACACTTTACACCGTCTTGCGCGTTGAATTGCTTCCAAAAGAAGACTGGCGTCTGAAGGTTGGGGGGGTTCTCTTCTTTGGTATCTCACTGACAGACGTCTGCCGGAAGATTCGCGCTGGCATCGCCGCTTCTGAAACATTAAATATTCTGCACCATTAACGCACAGATATGAGAGTTTATATCTCCGGGCACGCTCCACTGTGGGCTTTTTAAAGTGCATAATTTTGGCAGTTTTCATTAAATCCTGAATGGTGTTTTTGCTGAAAATTTCATCTTACCGTCTAGTCTCTATGAAGAACATCGAGTCTGAACACAAAAAAACAATTAGGGTTGATAATATTCACGGACCCTAACAGACTGTAATACGAGATTAATGTAGGGAAGATGCAAGGTCAGCGTTTTCAGAGGCGCTATCTAAAAACTGGCTTCAGTTTGCTGTAATCAACTTTGTTCTCCCACGAGAAACACACTGCCATTTTTATTCTTCAACAACTGCCTGCCAAGTGTGGATCATGCTATTTTATACAGCCTTTTAGCAGGATAACACATTTTAACCGATGCCAAACTGTTGTTCCAGTTCCACTCTGCCGTTCCACCAAGTATCAGGACAGAAAACTGAGAAAAACAAAATGCGCCGAGAAAGAAAAGTGAAGAAAAGGGTCAGAATGGACACAACTAGAAGTGAGTGGGAAAAAACCTGAAGGG